CAGATGTGTTCATTAATTGGGTCTAATAATGATTACAATACATTCTGTCTTTCTTGCCTGGGATTTTATTCACTGTAAAGTCATTCTTTTACTAAGTGTTCCCCTTGAAGGGTAGCCTTGGTAGGGCTGTATCTTGAAAATAACTGATTTGCTGAAGTCTATCCATTTCAGCACAGGAACAATACAAACTTTGATAGGAGGGATTGGCACGACTGGGTCCAACAGTTTTCAATATTATTTTGAAGCATAATTAATTTGTTTATTTTTCTCTATGTGTTTAAGCAGTCATTGATAGGACATATGAGAGCTTTTAGACATACATATTTTTGCTGGGACTGTGGATACTTTTATTTTCAACAGCAACCAAAAGCCTGGTTTGCTCAGAAAATGTTCTCTGAATAGCGTTCACATAATAGCAACTTGGCACTATGTGTATTTATGTGAAAAGACAATTGATGATATTTTAGGGTTATAACAAAATGACTCTTCTTAAGTACATCCTTTTAGAAAAATTGGCTGTATTTATCTTGCACAAAATCTCAGCCTAAAAGCTTTTATTATTGTTAAGTCAAGCTCTTACACAACTAATGATTAGTAGAAATATTTCTGGAACTTTGTTTTTACTTTATTGCCAGTCATATTTGATTTTAAACATAAATGTTCTCGGCTTTGTTTCATCCTTGTTCCTTTTCTCTTCCTTCTCTCTGCTGCTGTCTTTGGTGATTGTGTTGATTTTCACTCATTCCCTAAGTCTTTTCTCTATATACCATTTTCTTCACCCAGATGTTTATGTACTAAAACAGATTGTGTTTTTTTCCTTTTCCCTGGGTAACACTATGACATCTGTATTTAGTTTTTTGCTGCTGTTTTTGCTTTCAAGTGTGTGCTGCCATCTATGGAGTAATCAGAGAAATAAAGCTGGTACAAAAAAAGATGTTTTATCAGAAGATCATTGAAAACAAGATCTAGGTAGTGAAGGAGGTATCATAGAGCAGTTGGCCAGATCTCAAGAAATCCTGTTCCTCTGTAGTCCTAGATCTCACAGCAAGCACGGGTGGAAGTACACCTTTTAGAAAATCAATGGTGTCTAGTAATGAAATTATTCAGTCGATTGCTTTAAACCAGAGTAAGTTTGCTTTGTCCTTCAATCTGATAACTCATTCCTTTTTCTTTTCCTTCCCCATTCCCTCTCACATGTCCTAGTTATTCAGCAGTTTCCAAGACCTGTTTACTATATCTTTCTTAATTTGTTTTTCAAAGCTTAATTTTAATTCCTTATCCTTCCCCAGAATCTTGTTAACTTTATGCCTCTCCTCAGTGTTCAGTTTCTGCCTGACAAGGTCCAGGTTTCCCTCCTTTAGATCCCTTCAGAATGCATTACTGAAGATTAGTCCCCATTCTGTCTCTCTTTCATAACATTTTGTTCCTTGATATCTATTTTAGAGTGTACATTTATTGCGCACATCTATTCAAGATGGTCTGAAAAGCACTTGGAGAAGTAATTTTCTCTGTACTGGGGTATCCATGCACGTAGAGAAGCTACTGCTTTTCTCTTGATGCTGTTCATGCGCTTTCAGCTTGCAGATTTTTGACTAAGGATTCTAGCATCTCACAACCTTGAATGGGGTTAGGTGTATGAATTCCTGGCAATCAGACTTCTATTCATTTCAGTAAGATGTGGCAAATAACAACTATCTCTTTAGGTCTTTCCTCAGCAAAACAGTGTTGGAGTGGGTGTATATTTAAACACTACTTCTTAAATGCTTTCTTATAACACAAGGTATTAGAATCAAAAGGAAAAGTTTAACCTATGTGGATAAAGCATTCTTAAAAATATCTTCTGACATTTTCTTCTTATTGCTGAACTCAAAAATTGATCTTATTTTCCAGCATCAAAACAAAATGAAGGAAAAAAAATCGATGCTGAAGATTGATCAATGTTTTTCAAAACTGACTTAATAAGATAAAAATCAATGCAGCTGTATTATTTCCCATTCCTTCATCACCAGGAACATTCAAACATGGTAATATTTGATTCTTAAGTTAAATGTGAAAATATTTCAGTTACCTCCTACAGAGGAAGAAAAAAAATACAAGGAGGGATTTATTTAGTGAAAGTTCAGTTTTCTTTTTAAACCTAGTTTTGGAAATTTGAGTTCTGCAGAAACTGAAAACAGTTTGATATTTTAAGTGACAGTATGTAATTATTCCTTTAATCACACAGATTTAAATAGAACAAATTATTACTTGTATTTGCAAATTGCGAGCTCTGATCCTCCCTTCCTCCTGCAAAAATGAGTTCCATCTTGCTTGGTTGAGAGATCTAGACTCAAAAAATTGGAGATAAGCTTGGGAACTGAATTTCCCTCATGGCAGGTTCACAGTGCTTTGAATTTAGAGCTTTCCTGTACAAATGCATGAGCTGATTAACCTCTTCTGGCAAAAATGAGTGGGTTATTTGTAATTTGTTCATTTGTTTTTTCCCAACATTCGTTTCCCTTTTCTGCTTCCACTATCCCAAATAATATTAAGATCCCTTATTGACTTATTTAAAGAACAGCCTTAGAAACTGACTTCTTATACATTATTGAACCAATCCCTAAAACATAAGTTTGGCCTGGTATTTTAAAGGATTTTTTAAAACAAATTATTTGCATTTCAGTATTCCAGTTCACCTGCTGCCTTGGGTTTAGCTCTTTGGACTCCCTGTTTGGAATTTTTCTTAACAACTGAGTGCTATAAAATGTTTTTTTTAGGGAAGAAAATCATTGTCCTCACATAATCACTGGGACTGGGATTTTCTGGAAGTACCAGACACTGAAAGACTCCTAATAAAATCCTAGATATTGGTGAGCCTCTGGTACTGGCATCTTTTCTTTTAAAGATTTATTTCATGAGCACAGGAAGACAGCTTTCTGCATAAATTTCTACTGAATTAATTCCCTATCTGCAAGCTGGGCCAGAATGTCATAAAATAGGAAATGCAAACCTGATAGTAGGTAGACACAGACTTTAAGAATGTGGAATTTAAACAGGTTCTCTGTGGGGCGAGCTACTTTCTCATCTGCTTTTCGTATTCCTTTGCTGATTGATTAATATGGTGAGTTTTCTCCTCTCTTCCAGTAGCTCTGAGCAGCAATATGTACGTTCATTGGGATCAGACAGTCCCACCCCTTCATCTCTCATCATCATCAGCTTCATTATCGACACTATTCGTAATCACATAACAAGAGAGCTTGTTCTTGTAGTTCTCCCTTTCCTCCCCTCTCCTTGCTGTGAGAGAGAAGTGGCATGGCATATTGCATAGCTAAAAGCTTCTCAAGCCTGAATTTGTTACACCTCTGAATTTGGCAGGCAAGCATTCACAACCACTACCCATGAACATGGCTCATCACCACGTGAAGCTGGACACCCTGAGAAGACAGATAATATTGGATTGGTTTTCTTGTTGCTCTGCAAACAATCAAATGGGCTTAAGCTATGCAATCTGATATTCCCTAATTGACAGCTTTTCCAAGGTTCATTTGTTAACTGAGAGCATGACATGTATTGAAGTTGTTTCTTCATAATGCATTTGGCATTAACAGGAGAAGCTGTTGAATGCCTCAGACATCAATGTCTCAGCAATAAGATATTTCACCTACAGTTTTGACTTTCTAACTAGTGACTTTGTATTTGCAAGAGCATGTGAAATGAGCATAGGATGAGACAGGACAGGAGAATAAAGCTTAAATGTGTTCTCCTAAGAAAATTTGTGAGATTGTTTATGCTGCTTGGGACATTTAGCTGAGTTTTATGGTTTAACTGTTCTTCATTTCTTTTGGTATAAAACCTTGGTTTCTTGCTTAACAAAGTATTCACTGACTAGTCATAGGGCTTCAGAGCCCTTTTATTTTGATAAAAGGTATATTCATAAATAGGCATATCTGATTTTATTTACAGTGATGAAGAGTTTGTGTGTAAAAGATGTGCTCAAGAGTTTTGCTTGTCTGCATTCATAAGAGAATATAAAAAATACAAAAAATCCTCTATTTCAAAGAATCTTAATCTTCTCCCACATGAAGCCCAGGCTTATCTGAAGGAATAAATTATCTGTGTAGGAGAGACCAGAAGATGATTTCTTCACTGATCTTGTCACTACTTTTCTTTTGCTGCTTTCTTGTAGCTGGTTTCCATAAACACTTTCCTAGTTTCTTAGAGCACAGATTGTGCCAGAACTGTAACACTCAGCACCTTTCCATTCTGTTAACAATTTCTGCTATCTACTCTTCCTTGTAACTGTTCATAGGATGTTCACACAAGATCTGTAAGTGCTAATTAAGAGATTTATCATGAAAACATAATCATTAATAGCTGTTGCTTCTCCTGCATCCCATGAACATTTTAGTTAATACATAAATTTATCTTGAATGTGAAAAAAGTTTTAATTTCTGTTTTTTCATTACTTAGCGTAAGCAGGTTACTCTAAATACTTGGATTAATTTCTCTAGCAACTAGTTAAGTTTCTGCATGTATTCCTCCTTCTGGGAAGAGTACCTGCCTGGAGAAGTACATGAAATTTTATAGATGACAAAATAACTGAGGCACTTCGGTGGTGCTTTGACTAGCACTCTTTAGTAAGTGAAACACAGCTGTTTAGATGAGGAAAAAAATGGGTGAATGGGTCAAGATGCTTTCATTTCATGGGAATAAAGAACCTAGCTTTGACAGAAGGGCCTATTCAAATAATGCCAGGGAAGAATGAGCAAAGCTAGATTCTGCTTAGAAAAGCCTAGAAACAAGCTTTTGAAAGCCCTAAGGTCTGGAACCTAAGCATACATCTCTCCTCCCCCTGTAAACATCAATGTCCTGACTTCCTGCTGAAACTAAATATTCCAGAGCCCTTGGCGAACATTCTGGACCTGTCTCCAAGTACCTCCTCCTTTGTTTGCAAGGTCTGTGACCAAATGCCATTTGGGTGCCTGGCGAGCACTGACTCCAGAAACACTTCTGTCTTGCAGGGCAAGCACAAACTGCACGTGGACACAGGACTGGAGGGCTCCTGGTGTGGCCTCATCCCCATCGGGAACCCCTGCGAGAGTGTGACCACGACAGGCCTTAGGTGGAACCTCAGTAAGTGAGATGCCTCTGGGACGGTGGGTTTGGTGTGGTCCTGACCCTACATTTACAGCAGTGATGAAGGGCCTTGCAAATTTGGAGGTGAAGCATGGCCTTGAATCCCTGCCAGGCCATTTTTTTTCTGAAATGAAGGGGTTTTTACAAAAACAAAGCAAAATAAATACGTTTAAACCTGAGAAATCACAGGCAAAGACACATTTTCCATTTGGGAGTCATTGTGCTCTTCAAACAGAACATTTGTTGAGGTCATGATACATTACCATCTTGATACATTGCCCTCCAGGGAGAAGAAGCCACCAGTGTCTAAACTCCTGCTTATAAGCCATAAAGTTACAACAGACAAATAATAATGTGATACAGATTATTAAAGCTACCTCACTTCACCCAAACTGCTTCATGTGTATTGTCTGTTTCTCAACCCTGAATGAATAGATCCTTTTTCTTACTTGAAAGTAGAAAAAAGAGTTTGTTTGATTAAGAACCAGGGACATTTATCTGTAGAGAAAGGAGGTTTTATGACACAAAAAAAGTTGAAACAACCTTCATCCTCCTGCCTCTTCCTCCCACACTGAGTAATTTGGGATGTATTTACACAGCAAAGTAATGGGATATTTTCAATGAAGATTCATTGAAACTTAAGTGGAAGCAAAGGAGTAATTGAGAGGCTCTAGTCTCAGTCTGATTGACATGTCCAGGCTTTAGAGCCATTCCATGCAGGAAGGGCATGCTGTTCTCACAGTCTGCAATGCAGTGCCTTCACTGGCTAAGAACTGATGTAAGTGACCTACTGTGCCATCCTGCAGAACATCTGCTGGTTCCACTGAGAGTTTAAGGTGGTAGTAGGCATTAGTAGCTCTCTAATGACAAAAGATATAAATAGGGCATTAGTTTTGGATTGTGGGAGAATTGCCAGATGAGGAGTTGTCTGGCTAGCAATATTTCTGTCCTTTTAAACTGGATTGGAAGAGCTGAATGTATTGCATAAGAGACATTCCCTTATTTTGAAAAAGAGTCAGATATTTTCGTTTGTACATATAAATTCAGTTGACATATAACATACTGAATTTTCATCTGCTCATCTCCTGCTGTCCAGCAACTCCTGTGACCCATTGGACTGAGGTACTAATTTCTCAGAAAACATTCTGTCCTTCAGAATGAGGTACAAAAAGCTCAAACCAGCCTCATGTTGATGAAGTAAGCCTCTTTGAATCCTGTGTTGTATTGCAAAAGGCAACTCTGTGGATCAAAATGTGGTGGATGCAATGAAGTTGCAGCCTTTTCTTCTGATTTTCATTAGTTGAAAAGCCATTTTTCAGATAAAACAGAATTTTTTCAGTTTAATTCCATAAATTTCATCAGATTTACAAGGTCCATCAAATTTAAGGATGGCTTGTCTGCTCTGTTTCTTTATTACTACTAAGTTATTATTGCCTGATCTGCTAAACCTAAAGAGAGAGGGATTGCAAGTCAGCTGTGCCATCTGGAGGAGGATGCAGGGGGGAGATGAAATGGCAGGAAATATTTTTTCTCTCTAGGGTTGGGTTAAGATACCAGTTTCTTAAGTGTTGGTTGTAACTAGACATGGACCTATGTGGATTTTTAATACGCTTAGTTTCATCTTTTTTTTTTTTTTTTCTGGGGGACGAAAAAGTATTTATGTGACTTTTTCCTGCTTCTTTCATCTTAGCATGACACCATCATGTCTGCTTCTCCCTACCCTTTTTGCTGCTATTTTCCAGGAGGAAAGAGAGCAGACCATTACAGTGTTTTCCTTAGTGATGTATATATCACATCCTCTTACAGGCTGTTTTCTGTCTTGATATTCATGTTGCTCCCAGGTTGTAGTTCTTTCATTTATTTCTTCATGTTAATCACAGATATATCTGTAAAACCAAAAAATGGTCTGATCTTCCTTGAAGAAGCTCAATCTGAGACATCAAGGTCATTACAACCTGAAACTCCTCTCTTGCCCAAGTGACTTGAGCTAACCTTTTCACTCATCCAAATGCAGAATAACCTTTGATTAAGATTATTGTTCAGACTCTGATTAAAAAATTAAAGTACAGATACATTCTCCAAAAGGGAAACCAATATCTCCAAAACATCATGTGGTTGGTTGTGGCTTGATTCGACATTTTCCCTAATAAATCATACCTACGTTCTGATGGTTAAAGTTTGATATTAACTTCCATTGTGTTAATGCACTTTTATGCTGCCCCTAGCTCTGCACTTACTTCAAAAAATATTAATCCTCCTGTAAATTGGGACAGAGAAGCAAAGGATCAGCTGTGAAGAAATAGCATAATAATAGATACTGAAGTGTGATACGGATGTCAGCCTTGCTGCTGATGGAAGCAATGGCAGAGCTTTGCCTGTTGCTTCGTTAACAGCAGTCTGAGCACACACCTTTGTAAACCTCAGTGTAAATATATTGTAAACCTCAGTAAATAATTTCTTTTGTGGTTATAAATTAATTTTCATGTGTAAATCATAAAAGAAATTGAATTTTTAAGCCAAACATGATATGAAAAGCCTATTCCTCCAGTTTGTTATGGAGTTAAATTGGATGTGACCTTACAAGTTGGGTTTTAAAAAGTAATTTTTGAGCCCTCAGAATATTTAGGTATCTGGGTAGTAAACTAATTTCAGAATTTTAGTTCAAACAGTGATGCATTAGGTGGTAGGGGAGCCCTCATTTTTGCAAACAGTAATTTCCAGCAAATCAAAATTCAAATAACACTGCTGTACAAGACAGAGCTGGCTTTGCATCAAGCTTTTTGATGTATAACACCAATTTCTGCCTGAGCATATCTAGATTACTCTGCCAATTAAAATTTGTAAAACCTTCAAGAGGTAGTCAAACATTATCTGTGTCCAGTGTACAGGTGCTGTCATGATACCTCATAGGTTCTGAATAGAAAAAGATAAGAATAAATACCTAGGACAGAAGCTGTATTGAGGTTAAGAGTAAGGTACCAAAGTTCCCATTTCAACAGTTGAATTAGATAAACCTGAAATCTGTAAGTTATTCTGCTATCAGAGAAACAATGATGACTTTTAATATTACAGAATCCAGTATTTTTTTTGTATGTTTGTTTGGGAATGCAGCATGTATGCATGTTTTTATGCATGCTTATCTTTGTTATTTGCTAGCACTTGTCACAAAGAGAATTTTCATTTATTTTAGTTCTCATCTTATGAGTGAAAGAACTTGGAGAAGAAAGTGGAAAGTTGATTAGAGAAAATATTTTTATCCATACCTGCTATTGTGTAGCACATACTCAGAACACATTATAAACATATTCATTCCATTCCCAAAGGGATACAGATCTTTTCTCTATTAAAATCTGATTTACAGCACAGGAATCAGATAATGCTTTATCTGATTTGACTCACCTGGCTGCTTGGTGATAACAGCTCTTATGTCTAATAAATAAATTACAAAAAATCCAATAATGCCAGAATTACCCAGCATTCTTCATTAGGTCCTCAGTGGTGCTTTCATGTAAGGTAAATAAGAATGAAGGTAGAAATCAGCTGCACTGCTCATCACAGAGAGGTTGGAGGGTAATGGAAGGCATTTTTAGGAAATGCTTCCTTTTCTGTGATGTTACTTTAGAAAATAATCTTGCCATATAATTTATTCTTCATCCTTATGGCCTTCTAGATATGCTGTATGTCATGCCTCTACTGAAAATGCCAGCATATATGTGCATGTATGTGTGTGTATATATATCTATCTCTCTCTCTCTCCATATATATATATATATCCATATATATATATATAAGCTCTGTGTTATCCAGATTGTGCTTTCCAGATAATTTTCATGCCAATTTGCCTTCTTTAGGCAGGAAGTTAAATTGCTGTAAAATGCTGCCATTTGAAAGAGTGCCACTGTCATTTCACTTCAAAAGGCAATAGCAATAACAACAGGAGCAAGACCTTTCTCCAACTGTAGCAACAGAGCACCCACTGACTGCTAATGTCACAGGTAGATGAGCAGGATCCCAAACCTTTTGGTGCTGTTTACATTGTTAGTAAAATTCAAATGTTTGCACTGTTTTACTTCACCGAGGTTTTATTGATGTAGCATTGTGAATGGAACAAAAAGTTTACAAAAGCAGTTGTGGTTTGTATTTCAGGAGAACTCAAGAGTCTAAAAGATGAAAGAAAATTAGTAACTTTTTTTTTTAAAAAAAAGAGAGTCAGAGACTGTTCTGGGAAAGGTTGTAAATTGAAATGGACAGGTATCTGTACTAGTGAGGCTGTTTGTATAAGCACTCTCTAACCTGTTTCATAACTGAAATAGTTTATATCACACATTTTGCTACCCCAGTTCTGACTGAGGCAAACTAAGTGGCACTTCTGGGAATAGCTTTGTTTTCAGTGGCGGAGTAAATAGCTTCACAGCTGGATTCCCATTCTCCTCTGCTTTCCTCTCTTTCCCTCCCTTCTCTTGTGCTTTACTGGCAGAAGATATATTATCACTGATGTATTTTCTCACTTATCCATTGCAGCTCTAAGACTCTGGGTAGGGGTGGAGTGGACAGAAATGATGTTGCTGATCCCAAAGCGTTGGGTGGCTTTGACCTTTGGCAAGCTGTTTGCCCACAGGAGTGCTGCTGTCGACCTTCCAGGGTCATATCATTTGTTACAAGGCATGGCCTGCTGAAATACTTTTCCAATGAGGCAGCTGTTCTGATGGTGGCAGCCTGGCATCCCACTGGCTTACTGCAAGTCAGCAAAAACAACGAGGGCCTTGCTTAGCATTGCATAAAATCTTTTTGAACCACAAAGACCATTTGGTGTACATTAAATGACTGATGAACACAGTGCTCAGTTGTGCTGGGCCTCTAAACCTGTATTTGCATTTTTTGCTGAACAGCAGCTTGAAAACTCAATCAGACTTTGTGAAAAGGCTTGAAATGGGGACACACATTCAGTTAATTTCCACATATTTCAGTAAATGTTTGGAATTAGTGGGAGAGAAAAT